CATTTGACTGTGTTATGTTTAATCTATGGGATTAATATTTGGCATTGAATTAAGTTAAGGGCATTAACAAGGAAAGAAATGATGTTGTAAGGTATTTGTGGCATAAAATCCATTCTTTTTAATCACAGGTCCTCTTTTCCTCACACACTATATATATATACAATATGGTAATCTGTATGGAATTTCAAGGAGGATATAGATCCAGAGAGAGCTCTATGTCAAGAGACAGAGCAAAATTAGTATTAATTAAAGAATATCAAACACAAACTTCTATGGGATCTTAAGTGTTTTTCATATCCTTTAATTAATAATTATATATATATATATATATATATATATATATATATTTGTCCTTGTAATCTTTAATGACAAAAAATAAATAAAATAAGTAAATAAAAATAGAAGAAAAAAACCCGATGCAAAAAATGCATTTTTAAGTTAGAAATTATTAGAAAATTTCCATAGTTTTAGAAGTGTCGAAGACTTTTACACAGTACTGTACTAATATTTTTTACAATGTTGTTCACTTTGTACAAGTCCCAAGAGCTACTCAAGGTAGGGTGTTAGAGGTACAATTTATGCGGATACATATAGACTTTTCCCGTGCCATTTTTTTTAAAAATGGATATCAGTTATCTCCTGTTAATTCCCGTCTTCAAGTTCTTCACTGTCTTAACTTGGGCAGTGAAGAAATTTCAGAGGGGAATTAACAGAAAACAACTGATAACTGATATCCATTAAAGCACGTGGAACTAGAACAGTCTACCCTAGTGAGCGAAATAAAGTGTTCAGTTCGACATTCCAACAACCTGAAGGAGGGAGGAGCGTACAACGACCGAAACGTAGTAATAAATACGGCGACAAAGCTGAGGACAATTGTTCGAATAATGTAAATAGTGCTCAAACAATAAATTATAAAAAAAATTAACAACAGATGAGAATGGTTCAATCGCTACTCAAGGACAATCACGTGCTAAATAAAGCCCAGATGACCAACTACAATACCAGAGTGCGGCCACTTCTTCTGTATGAATGTGTGTTCTGTACATGCAAGCAGCCGAAATGAATGGCCTTCGGTTGATTAAAGACAAGATGAAGAATGATGACAGACAAAAACTTAGCCTGAAGACCATCATGGTAGTCAGTGAAGAAGCTTAGTTCAGTTGGTATGGTCATGTCGAACACAGGGATGACTCAAGAATCCCCAAAAATGATTACACCACTGGAAACTGATCAGCAAGAGATCAATGGGGCATCCCAGGAATAGATGGATCTAGAACATAACAGAGGCGGGAGAACAACACGTGACCACTATGATAGATATCGAAGGGTTCTAAGCTGTTTCAAGACAAAGCAACATGGTGCTTCTAAACAGATAGATCTTCTTGTAATTGGGTGAGAAGTGTGAGAAGCCAGAAGAATACCAAATATTTTCCTTCCAATACGAAGCGCAACTTAGGAACATTTTCCTTTCTCTCAAGCATGTCTGAGACATTCTTCGCCTTAAAAGAAACAACAGTTATCAGTTGTGACATTGCTTTATTAGGTGCTGTACATGAAGTGGACGATCTCGACTCTCCACAGCTTCCTACGCTTTGGCGCTCTAAGTAATGATTGTTTCTCGACTATCCTTGCTAGTGCATTTTCTCCCATTTTATATCAACGCCAGCTCGTTAGGTTACTCATTGTTTCCCTGTACTCCTCTTGCCTTCAAAATGTCATGTGAGTATCAAATTCTTCAAGCCCTTTATTATCAATTCTACTTCCTGTTCAACCATCCATTTACACAAATATTTCAGGTGGGTTACTCACTATTTCGCTCTACTCCTCTTGCCCTCAATATGTTATGTGAGTATCAAATTCTTTAAACTCTTTCTTATCAACCCAAGTCCCTGTTTTGCCATCCATTTACACAAGCATGTTAGGTTACTCACTGTTTCTCTCTACTCCTCTTACACTCAATATGTCATGTGAGTATCAGATTTTCCAAACTCGCTTTCCTCATTGTGTGTCACAGAAATTTCAAGCGTCATTTTCTGCTTCTAAATACAAATCTCCATTTGTTATTCTATGTTCCGTTAAACTCATATTCCACGTCAAGATTCTTAGCCTTCTTCTGTAGGCGCCCTTTTCTATTGCTTGAACTCTTTTCTTCATCTGGTAGAAAAATATCCAATATTCAGTGTCACATGCGAGGATTGGTATTACATAGCATTTCAGCGTTCTTATTTTTGTTTGTAAGGAAATTTTCGTGTTTTTTTATCAATTATTTCGCATTTAGAAGGCATCTTTTCCTACATATACATCGATTGTACAGAGTTCACAACGACATTCATGGAGTAATTCATCAATATACATACGATCCTAACATCACATTTAGTCTTTTTCTGCCAAATTTAATAAGAATTTAAATTTCACTACCGACAAAACAGCCGAAGTGTATACACACTTCCTGCACTGGGCACTGAACATCAAATTAGGTTAATAATAATAAAAAAATCATCATTACAACATGCAGAATCAGACAATCGTAACTATGGTCGTACAATGCCATTTCTCGAAGGAAGAAAAGTAAATTTTCTCTTTTATTACCTGAGAGAATGTCAACAGATAATCTAGTAACGGTTCTCTTAATCCGTTTTGTTTCTATATGAACGAGTGTTTGTAGCCTGAATGAAAAAAAAAAACATTTAATTAAGCAATGTATATGTTAATTCATTTTCCTGGCTGAATTTTTACATTAGCGCCTAATTAATGCTGAAATTGATACCTTCTGGAACCCAGGAGATTACCGTAGCCTTCTCGGCACAACGATTTTCGCTGACATGAAATGGTATATTGAATAGACTGCGAGGTCTGCTGCTACTGAAGTTAGTTCATTCCGTCATATTAGAGAATTTTCTCGCCAGGAAATATCGTATATATTACATCAACTATTTGTGAATGCATTGAATATTGCTGCCTCATCTTCACTGGTGCTTCTGTTTTGTATATAGTGATTCTTGACAAAATTGAAAACAGAATCAGCAAGGTTATCTGTTCTGACCTTGCAAGTTGGTTTCATTCTCTTTTCCACCGCCGCAACGTAGCTTCCTTTTGCTTCTTCTATAAGTATTTTCACGTTAATTGATCAGAGATATGTATTATAGATTCTTGATAAAATATAAAAGGTGAATCATTAATGTTATTGGTCTTGGACTGGCATCTCGGCTTCAGTCAATTTTCCAACACAGGTTCTAGTTTCTCTGTATCTATTCTATAAATATTCTCCTAAGAATTATTCCGATGACATTTCCTTTTTGGTACTGCTACTTTACAAATTTAAGCCCAGTACTGGATTACAGTTGAGCTGTCTAAATACAACCGTAGGTTCTATTCTAACAGTTTCTTCTCTTTCACATCTCACCTGTGGAACGCTCTTCTGGTTTCATACTTTTTGATCATATTTTATCTTCGATTGAAAAAAAAAAAAATCACCCCAAGCAAGGCAAGAGTGCCACTACAGTGCAGAGTGGGGGGGGGGGGTTACAGAGAATGAAAGTGAGAGAAAAGACTGGGAACAGGGAGGATTAAAGAACAGATAAAAGATGTCACTGCATTTAAATTTTTGAAGATTGTTGTTACCAGGGAAACAAGTAAGAGGAAGAGAGTTCCACAGTTGGGAAGTGCGAGAAAAGAAACCGTTAAAATAAAAGTGGTGATTACATTTACTATTTCAACAGTAAAAGGGTGTGACCTAATTGCCAAACTAGTAGCACTTTGAATGAAATGCTAATTATCTTTTGTTTTGTTTTTTTCTAATTCTTGTTCATTTATCGTTCTTTCTCCTTAATAATGTTTCTTTTTTTCTTTCATATTCTATCACACTCAGCAACCGCTTGCATCTTAGTGTATTTATCGCCTTGCTTGGTATGAAATAAAAACAAAAACAATAAGCGAATTGAAATCACAGCGGCAGTATCCAGCCCTGACCAACATCTTTCAAATAGAAGTTCAGCTGATGCGATCAGCAGTTCTAAATGTTTTTGACTGGTTGTGAAAGAGCTTTTGTTGACAGGTAAAAAATAGGGTTTTTCTTTTATGTCAAGTGAGAAATAGTTTTTCTCTTTTTGGGGGAAGTAGAAACATTGCTTTAAAGAAGGGACATCATTGTTTTCATTAATTTCGCTTGATACCTCCAACCTGTTTAAAAAGTTCATCTTATCACTTTATTTTACGGGTTACAGGAGTCTTTTTTAACACGTTTTACACTTTTTTCTTACAGATGAATTTTTATTTATTTATTTACTAAGGTGTCATGTCTATATGGATAGGTCAGGACAGTTGACTGAAGATAAACTTACTTGTTTTCCACAAAACAATTAAGAATGACAAATCGTATCTTGATTAAGAGTTGCTCATGTAAAAAAACACAAGACTTCAAATAATTTAATGAGCTGAAATCAATTTGATATCCTGTTTACAATAAACATATCACTTGCTAAATATTTTCACAGAAATTCCAAAATTATTGTCAAGAAAACTTTGCCGAGAAGCTTCGATCCAGAAGGTTAGAGGCTTACGGACACATCTATGTTTCTGAGATGAGATATTATATACACTACTTACATTATTCAGACTATTGTCCTCATCTTTGTCGCCATATTTATTGCAACCTTTCGGCCCTTCAGTATCTGTCTATATTTCTGAGATGAGGTATTATATACACTATTTACATTATTCAGACTATTGTCCTCCTCTTTGTCGCCATATTTATTACAACGTTTCGGCCGTTGTATCGTCTGGCCTTCTTCAGGTGGTTGAAATGTTGAACTGGGGCCTTTATTTTGCTCACCGGAGAAGACTGTTCTACAACAAAGATGAGGACAATAGTCCGAATAATGTAAATAATGTACATAATACCTCATCTCAGAAATATAGACAGATACTGAAGGGCCAAAACGTAATAAATATGGCGACAAAGATGAGGAGAATAGTCCGAATAATGTAAATAGTGCTTACGGACACATCACGCTGAAACACCGGTTCCCGTACGATCACCGATGTTAAGCAACGTCAAGCCTGGTCAGTACCTAGATGGGTGACGGTTTGAGAATAGCAAGTGCTGTAAGCTCGGTATACTGTTAGTGCAATGGATAATGACTCAGAATTTTGAATCAGAGACCTGAATTTCAATTCCTGTTGAGTTTATTATATCAACTTACGCCCAAATACCCTTGAGAAAGGTATGAATCAACCTCTTCTCCACCATCTATGGGTTAATTAGTAAGACTTGTATCACTAAACCTTTATCAATCTAAAAATATTTTCTGGCTTTAAATAAGCTTCAAAGATTTGATAAGCCATAGAAAACAAAATCAATCAATCTAGAATGTTAGAGGCTTATTTTTGGAAAACTTTATTCAGTGTCTATAGTGGTATTTGAGAGCAGAGTTCAAAACCTTATCATGTCTCTTACGTTCATTTTTACACTTAAGAAAGGCATGGGCCCATCTTCCCTTCCCCAGCTCTAGGTTAAATAGTAGTAGCAGGATAGACATGACACTATTTGGATAGCACTCCCACCTAAGATAAGGAGTGCTTGGAATTCAAAAGAAGACCAAAGGAAACCATTCCATTCTTTTCAAAGAAGTCATGACAATTCAAAGATAATAAAACAAGTGGAATCCCTGGAAAATCATGTAGGCGATAATGTTATAAAAATTCATAATTAGTAAATGGTTTCAAATACAATATTCATATTGCATTCGTTATGGAAATTGTTAAAAACGAACAATAGAATTTCAAAAGAATATGTCAATAATTGGCCAGTGAATTCAGCGTTCAAATTTTGACTGCTCGACCAAACAGTTAACTTAAAAAGTGAAACTTTCTCTCAAACTTGACAGCGAACATTTTATCACGAAGAAGAAATAATTTCACTGGCATCTGGTGCTGAAAGATTGCCTCAAAGAAATCAATCCGTTTTTTGTTTGTATGAACAAGAAAAGGGAGTCTAACTTTCTTAGTGTCGACAAATACAATTTAATGAATATTATTCTATCAGATTAGCTTGAATAAACTGATGACTAAAGCAAGCGGCATGATTTCGAGGACACTCAACAAAGACAATTTCAAAAAAGTTGAAAAAAAAATCTTTCAATGGAAATGAAGTTAAAGTATCCATTTCCTATTGTGTGAAACTAAAAGACGGCGCCAACTTCTAAACTTGCGTAGATGTCTGTCTTTGAGGACAGATTTAGACATTTGATTGGGCGGTGTGTGGTAAAAGGCTGTGATACTCAAAGTAAGAGTTTTTATAATATCAAAGAGAAAAAATAGAGATTGTTTTAAAAAGTGATCGATACTACATATTGATCAGGAAAACAACGATATCATTCATCATATACATTTGGTAACAATTTTCTGTACAGGACGGCACTATTTTATATTCTAAAGTTTCCCCCAAGGCTCGAGTGCCGCTAAAGACAAACTGTTACGATTAAAATGGTCATGGTGACTGAAGTGTGGGACATAAAATGGAGAGAAGATGGTGATTAGCAGGGGGAGATAACTCGGGAAAATCAAGTCGAGAGTTAGTGTGAATTTAAATAAAATAACATTGTTTAGAATTTGATTATATTTTCTATGGAAGTGACTTCGTCACGTGATATTTTCTCAAGGATTTACAGTTATCATTAAACTCCTTCCTTTCAACTAAAGTATGGGATCCTCCATATTTGCCTGTCACCCCTTACAGGAAGATGCACTCTTCCCCAAATTAACCTTTAACCAATCATCACTTCACTTTTCCAATCACAACTTCCCATTGGTTAAAAAGACACAAAAATGTAGCAAGTTGAGACAAATCCTTTTTTCCCGCGCAGCTGTCTGGAGCCAATTTGAAAACCCAAAAATCTTTAAAAAAAAAAGAATCGCTCGACTTAATTCAAGTCAGTCAGACACTAAGTTTTGAGAGATGCCAGTAGGCTCCACGCGTGCCAACACACTGACTCAATAACACTACCAGCCTCTCATCAACTCAACACAACACGCACTACTATTGCCGCGTGAAGAAACTTAACTTACAATTTACTAAAAAAAGTGACATTATCACTATGAAATAGTAATTGTACATTTAATCAACTTTAGCATATCAGTCAAAGGCACACAACTCTTCATAACTTGAATCAACACTTACAATTGTCACACACATACACACTATGATTTGAACTCACACAATTGACATTTTACCTTGCAGAAATCAAACTGTTTTAATTTCACAAACAAACTTAAACCATCAACATTCATTCACAACATCTCTGCATGGAAACTCTTAACAATCTTATCTCACTTGCTACATTTAACAAGCAACCTATCATCACTTTGTGTATGTCAAATATATATATATATATAAATTCATGCTATTGTTGAAATCAATAACTACGTTGTTTTTTCCTTGATTTCTTCAAGTTGTATTGTCTTCATATGTTCGTTTAATTTATTTGTTGTGAATAAATGCATAATGTACACACACATTTTAGGCCTTCACACAATTTCACCTTCTGACGCATCTTACTTAGCATAAATTCCGCAATAAAATTACCGCACGAGGGTTTAGGGAAGAAGTGTATATAAATTATGAATTGCTATTATTAAAATCCATGTTTCCGATTATCAGCAACAAAAGTTTTTGAGTCTAGGAATGTCAATAGCGAGAAAATTGTTAAGAAATTTATTATATTTTCTTTGGACGTGACTTGTTATTGTGACGTTTTGAGTTGACATAATTGGAAGTATAAAAGGAGAAAGGGTAAAATGTCCTCAAAAGATCAGCAAACTTTCTAGACTCAAATGGATCGTCTTTTAGGGGCTCTTCTAATAGTTTCTCTAAGCTAGTTAACGAGAATTTTTTGAATAAAGTTGAATTACTAGCCAAATTTTAAAATGCCAATACAACGCATCATGTTAAAACAAGTCGGAAAAAAAGAGATGGAAATCCTACTTGGACAATTTACACCATTTACATTGTTCGGACTGTTGTCCTCATCTTTCTTTCTTGCCATATTCACGAAGTTTCAGCCGCTGTACGCTCCGGCCTTCTTCAGGTGATAACTCTTGGAATTTCGAAACGAACATTTTATTTAGCCCACGCATAGCAATAAAAGCAAAGACGAAATAACTAAACAACAAAACAACAACATTAGTCCGAATGTAAATAACTATATTCTGTCAGTTTTTTTTTTTCAAATATATTTCTATCGTAAAATGCTTAATGCATTTATGTTAGTCAATCATCATCTACCGTCCTCTTGTTTCCTCTTCTTTTCTTGTCCTCGTTTCCGAAAACAGTTTTACTTTATTTATTCTTTCACACTCAGTAACCCCTTCTGTCGTATTGGTTTTATTCAATGGAACGAGAACGGTCTATCAACGTAAATTAAATAAAGTGTTCAGTATAGAATTCCCTGTAGGTTATACAGACCGATATACACTTGTTGAGGCCGAAGAGGACAACGGCCAAAACATTATGATAACAACAAGGATGAGGACAATATTCCAAATGTAAATAATGATATACCATAAAATTCAGACAGAGAATATATATATATATATATATATAAATTCACACCAACCAACAGGATAATGTTGCTAAGATGCAAAGTGGGGGAGGGCTATTAAGCGTGAAAGAGAATGAAAAGGACTTTAAGAATAGGAAACCCAATCCTAAACAGGAATCAGGGGATAAACCTATACTCCTGTTCAAAAGACCAAAGAGGAGTGTGAAACGGACAATAAGCAAACATTATATATATGAGTGTAAATTGGACAACTAGAAATCATTAACTTTCAATGTCATTTAATACGTGAGTTCGATCCTGCCATTATCCTGATAGTCTGCCATTTTTTACTCACCCTTTTCTTTCTATACATCACAATGTTGAAATTGGCTTTGTCTCACCATTAATTCACTTAAACCAAAATATACAAAGAAGGAAAGCGACAATGGAAACCTGAATATTAAAATAATCTTGTTTCATTGAATTATATAAATTCAACTTTCTCGAACGCATGCCAAATTCTAAACGTTGTTCAATTTAATGGAATAATTATGAAGTTTCCACCAAATAGTGAAACCTGGTGTATCAAAATCGACAGAAGGAAATGAGGTACCCTCTCCTGGAAGTACTTATCAGATATACACATTGCAATGACGTAGCCATATCTTTCCGCTATTCGGTGACAGAGAGCGAGAAATACAAAGAGAATAATGGAAAGAGAGAGTAAAAGAGAGAGAGAGAGAGTAAAAGAAAAAGAGAGAGTGTAAAAGAGAAAGACAAAGAGTAAAAGAGGAAAGATTTGGTTACGTCATTGCAATGTAAATAGTAAAAGACACAGAGAAAGTAAAAGAGAAAGACAGAAAGAGAGATAGAGTTAAAGAGAAAGAGAGATAGAGTTAAAGAGAAAGAAAAAGGGAAAAGAAAGACAGAGAGAGAAAAAGGGAAAAGAAAGACAGAGAGATAAAAAAGGGAAAAGAAAGACAGAGAGAGAGAGAGAGATAAAGGGAAAAGAAAGACAGAGAGAGAGAAAAAGGGAAAAAGAAGAGAGAGAGAAAAAAGAGAGAAAGAGAGAAAAGAAAGAAAAGAGAGAGAGAGAGAGAGAGATAAAGGGAAAAGAAAGACAGAGAGAGAGAGAGAAAAAGGAAAAGAAAGACAGAGAGAGAGAGAGAGAAAAGAAAAAAAAGAAAGACAGAGAGAGAGAGAGAGATAAAGGGAAAAGAAAGACAGAGAGAGAGAGAGAGATAAAGGGAAAAGAAAGACAGAGAGAGAGAGAGATAAAGGGAAAAGAAAGACAGAGAGAGAGAGAGAGAGAGAGAGAGAAAAGAGAAAAAGAAAGACAGAGAGAGAAAGATTGTTTGTCTTTCTGCGGTTTATCAAGCGTTTTTAAAGTCAGAAAATATTTTTTAGATAGGAATTTTTTTTCTATAATACAAATCTCACAAATTAATCCATGGCTGGGGAAAAGAGAAAGATTCATACATTTCCCAATTGCGCGTAAGTGAATATAAAGAACTCCACGGGAATTTGAACTCGGTTCTACGATAAACAATTTAGATCAATTATCCATTACACCACCCGCACATCCAAGCTTTCAGCACCTGATATTCCCCCCACAGTCACTCATTGATGTACTGAGCAGGTTCGATGTTCGTTAACTTCCGTGATTGTATGCGTGAGCAGAGAGAGAACAAGAAACGCAGAGAGTGAGAGAGAACGAGAATGTCAAAAAAAAAAAAAAAGAGAAAGGCAGCCAGAGAGAGACAACGTGAAAGGTAGAGAGACAGAGAGTCAGAGAATACGTGAATGGCAGATAACGAAAGAGAAAGGCAGGGAGTGAGAGAAAACGAGAGAGAGAGTGAACCAGAAATGAATAGAGTGAAGGACAACGAGAGAGAGAGAGAGAGGGGGGGGCAGAGACAATGAGAGAGACAGAGTCCGTGACAAAGAGAAACAAAGAATGTCAGAGACAACGAGAAAGTCAGAAAATACCAGAGAATCAGAAAGAACATAAATGACAGAGAGAACGACAATTTTTGGCATACAATGGCGGTTCGATGAATCGAAGAGTGACAGAAAAAAGTACAAATGCTTTAAAAATAACTGAAATGTTTATTAATACACGGAAATAAATATTTCATTTCATACAGATTAGCTATAAATAATTATCTTTCAAATGGAACCGAAATTTAATTTAAAGGCATTTTTCCGAAAGTCCGTGGTTATACCTAAAAATGAATTTAATAGTTTTTACAATTAATATATTTATTCCACAAGTAACACTTTATTTGTCAGAAAGAGAAGACCCATTAAACGTAGGAAAATGTTGATATTCTTTTAGAATGAAATTGCAAACTGATATCACACGAAAAGCCTTTCCATTCATGTTATAATAACTTCTGGATGATAATTTATACCAATTTTAGAATTTACCATATTATAAATTTCAAAGTTGAAGCGAATTCCAAAAAACAAACAGCAATCGTTTTCTAAAGAGATTTATATTTACTGAAATAACAAATTATGGATATCTCACTTTTGTACATTTATTTTTTTTCTCGGTATTTTTTCAAAATAATAATAATATTTTTATTATACAAGCTACGTTCTTCCTCAAATTTATATCAACATAAGTAACGGCAGCAAATCAGCGTGCATCTATTTATTTATTTACGATCAAGTCATATGACAATTTTGCAGCCATTTAGATTATTTGGTATAAAAAAACATTCGACCTCTTCATTTATCAAGTACTTGCCAAACATCTGAGACATTCGTTTATTAAAAAAATGTTCTAGTGTAGTGAATTGCATAAATTCATGTTGGATTATGCGGGTTTAAATTTATTTAATAATGATGTTGTAATATATTATGGACATTTATTACTTTCCCACACATATTAGTCAGAATATAATATGCAAGATTTGTTTATATACGCGGATTGATATAAGAAAGTCTATCGAAAACAAATCCTGAATTTCCTACTAAAAATGCCGTAAAAACAGAAAAACGGCTGTAGATCAAAAAGCCCTCGTCTAATTTTAATGAAATTTGGCACTGCACTCGATAGAATTTCAAGGGACAATATGAATCTAAATAAGTTTGGGTATTATGTATTTTTTAAACTGAATATCGGTAAAATACATATACATACATACATGGTGGCTGTCGACTCATAAAGCGAGTATGGCCATCACCGACATGTCCAGCCCTTCAGTTAAACTTCACCCCCCACCCAACAACACTACATTCATCGGTTGTAGGAGGACAGTGGCTCTTAAAGCCAGCCATCAATCTGCATTTCCTGTCACATATGTGGCATATCAAATCATCTCCGGGTGGTGGAAGTTGACTTTGATCATCATCACTTCCAATGTGATTTTTAATATGCCTTGTCAGGCCCGACATGGACTTGCACACCATAGTGCAAGTCATGCATTCAAAGCGTGCCACTATGAAATTGTCATATACAATAAACTGTTGGTGTGATTTCTGGTGACTGGCCAGGTTGGCACCTCATGACAATTCAGGGTTCACCTCCGAACCATTCTCTTAAGTTCTGCATATTTTTGTGATGTCTCATGGAAGATCTTGACGCCGTCAGCAATACAAGCTCTCCAAGAAACCCGGTCTTCAGCTAGAGTCTCCCTGTTATCTAGACCAATATTGCGCTCTTTAAGGCAATCTTTTTAACAAAGTTTGGGCTTGTGCTGCGATCTTTTTCTCATTTCCAATTCTCCATAAATTGTTTTGCAATTCTGTCATCCGATATATGGACAACATGGCTCGTCCATCGCAATCTATATATATATATATATATATATATATATAGAAGATCAGCGTTTTAGTATTATATAAATGGAGATAAAGTGACGTATGTTGGGTTTAGTTTCTTTGGGTCGGAATGAAAGGCAAAACTGTGGAAAATGCCTTGTGTTTTTAATGTTAAAAGGGCTACAAATTATCTTATCAGATCCGACCACCAGAATCTAGAAAGTGTTTGCTCTCATATATATATATATATATATATATATATATATATATATATATTCAAAATTATAGCATATGCATGTTATAACATCCTACAAAAATTGTAATTTTGTTTCAGCAATGCTAGTGTAATGGCGTTGATACACAAACTCTGTCTCTCTCTCTCTATATATATATATATATACACGAACATGACAGAATTGAATAGACGCTCACAGAAACCGTTTATTTTATTAAACAAGTAATTTATACAAATGAAGTAATTATAAATGGTCATAAATTTAATAACTAATACTTGGTTGACATCCCTTTTGCTTAATGCAAGGACCCTTCTAGGCATGCTAGCGATGAGTTCACGAATATCATCTTGAGGGATTTCTTGCCATGTTTGACGCAATAATCCTAAAAGTTCGGCCTAGAAGATGGCTTCCTGTTCTTTTTGCAGAGTTTTCGATCTAATATGCCCCAAAGGTGTTCAATAGAGTTAATATCCGGGGACTGACTTGGCCATGGACATTTATTGATCCCATTTTGTCTCAACCAATATTGCGTTGCTTGATCAGTGTGACATGGAGCACCATCTTCCATAAATAGGGAGTCAATTTTGCTCATTCTACTACTTGAGAATATTCGAAGAAGCCCTTTCTTTAATATAGAAACATATTTGGTTGAATTAATGTTTCCTTCACACTCCACAAGCTCTGAGCGACCATCACTCCAAATTGCATCCCATACCATTACTGAAAGGCCCCCATGTTTCACCGTTGGCTGCAGTCTTTTTAAATCAAACTCTTGACTACAGAGTCTCCGTACCCATATTCTTCCACTGCCAGAAAATAATGCGAATCTTGACTCATCAGAGAAAATGACAGTGGTCCAAAAGGTCACAGGTCTCTCCACCATCTCATGAGCCCAATCCTTTCTGCGTTTGATATTGGCTGAAGGGGGAAGTGGTTTCCTTCTCGCAGCTCTGCCATAGTAGCCCAGCTTGTGAAGATACCTGACAGCTGTTCTGGGACTGACATCAACTTGTGTTGCTATGTCAGAGGCCTTGAAACGTGGATCCTGTTCAACATTTCTTTCGACAAGACGCATGGTTCTTTCAGAGGGCCCAGGGCGACCTGGATGAGGTTTTGTACACTTCTTGCCCTGTCTGGTGAATTGTATGATCACTCTATTAACAGTAGAAAGGGATATTGAAAGATTTTCAGATATTTTTCTTTGACTAAGACTACCTTCATGTTGGCCCACGATTCGTCCTCGCTGAAATTCGGAGGGGGTCTGAGGCTCCTTTGGTTCGTGGCATGTTCCAGTATTGTTATCTGCAATTTTAATCAAATAATCGAAGTTAATTTATCTTGGTTATTAACAAAAATCAGAAATAAAATTTATCTTGGTGCCTATTCAATTCTGTCATGTCTGTATATATATATATATATATATATATATATATTACAGCCTTTGGTGTTCATTGGATTTTAAATCAGCCCACACTGATCAGATCTATTTTTTTTTGTATTATCTGCTTTCCTCTTTATCCTTTGGCTTCAATATGTGCTGTGAGAGTAAAATTCTCTAATCCCCTCTCCTCATTATTTGCACTAGAAATTCTAAATCAATCTTTCTATTTCTAATAAGAGGTGTCCTTTTTGGTCCCATTTTTCTAAAACATATTAAATACATAGCATTCTCAGCATCCTTCTGTTGCCGCAAGTCTCTTCCATGTTCCAAAATTGAAGTAACCAATGTATAGTAATATTTAATGTCGTGATCCCAGTCTTGACTTTTAGGAAATAAAAAATAAGTTAGTAAGTAACTTCACTTTGTAATAGTTAAATTAGCCGAGAAATTCTAAATCGATCTTTCTATTTCTAATAAGAGATGACCTTTTTCGTTCCATATTTCTAAACAAACATTGAATACTCAGCATTCTCAGCAACTATTTTAGCTAATACCTTCGGTATATCTATGTAGCAGAAGAATATATCACTTCAATTTAAACACGTGTACTCCTGTAAACTTTTGGTCTTTTCCTGGCCTGTTGTTTTTTTCGCTCAGAGGTGATCATTATTTTTTTTTCTCTCAGAGGCCATCATTTTATCTATAAAAAAAGGTCAGTAGTTACTTGGGTGCAAATAAACTATATATCGCTTCCGTGACTCATATTTGCCACGGAAGCAGAAAAAGCAATACTGATTTTCAAGGCAACTAGACAGGTCCTTCTCAGCTAAATGAATGGTGCAACACAATCTTCCATCTGAGGTTGTCAGTGAGCTTATGTCCATCTATCTGCTTATTACGCATCAAATATTATTTCTAACCAGGATGCCATGCAAATTATTCTCCCTGACATGATTACTACTTTGAGTTCAATAGTCATTGGATACATTACTTAATTAATGAATTAATTGTATAGACGGGACCCTCAGGTGTTGTCAATAACTGTGCTAGCATGAAGTCATGAGTCATCGTGGCCGAGGCCTTGAGCGTGTTGGCCTTGTTCAAATTGTTGATCACGCTAGATAACACACTCTCTCCCAGAAACTGTAACTAAGGTCTGCTCAGCATAGTTGCAGTATAAACCACAGGTGGGCTCTGTGGGTGTTAAATAAACATAAATGTGCCTGAACAAGCGTCTGCAATAGGGATTAGCTAGCCGCACTAGTAGACGGGTATCCTCGAATACGACTGGCCAGCTATATATTACGCCTATAGCTTTTTTGCATAACCTGGTTATTTATAAATCAATTTTCCGTTTGCTTTGATCATTGTCAATAAACAAAATTGTTGTGAGGATCATCTAAACAAAATACCGACCAATAAAAAAGGCAATGAAGAAACTGAAAATTTAAATTATTTCCTTAACTGAAAGACACGGGATCGACTCAAACTTGTAAATATTGGTACCACTTTGTTTCAATACATATTGTTAACGTACATTTTGTGTTGTATTATTCCATGCTTTTTTCTGAAAAAAAGGATAGAAACTGAAAATTTAAAATGAAAATAGGTACCTGAGCTT